TGTGCCCAGGTGTGCCCAGGTGTGCCCAGGTGTGCGTTACCTGCACATCCGGGTACTCGCTCTCCACCAGCTGCTTCGTCTTCTCGATCATCTGGCGCCCGAAGCCGGTCACGCTCTGCAGGTGAAGCCCAGGTGAGGCCCAGGTGTCACCTGGCCGTGCCCAGGTGTGATCTGGGCACCTCAGGTGTGCCCAGGTGTGTCTGTGAGCCCTTCCAGGTGTGCCCAGGTGTGTTTCCTGTGCCCAGGTGTGTCTGTGAGCCCTTCCAGGTGTGCCCAGGTGTGTTTCCTGTGCCCAGGTGTGTCTGTGGTTATCCCAGGTGTGCCCAAACCTGTCGCAGGTGTGCCCAAAGCCCTCCCAGGTGTGCCCAGGTGTGCCCCAGGTGTGTCTGTGGTTATCCCAGGTGTGTTACCTGTGCCCAGGTGTGTCTCCATGTACCCAGGTGTGTTGTTACCTGCACCCAGGTGTGTTTGAGGATATCCCAGGTGTGCCCAGGTGCGTTACCTTGCCCAGGTGTGCTCACCTGCGATATCTCCAGGCAGGGCAGGCGCCCGGCCTGCGCCCCGGTGAAGCCGTAGACGGAGTTGGCGCTCACCTTGAGCGCCAGCTGCCGCCCGTCCAGCACCTGGCGCCGCTCAGGGTCCTGCTCCTCGGCCAGCGCCGCCTTCACCCTGCCAGGACCCGCAGGTCAGCTCAGCTGGGCACAGGTGAGCGCACCTGGGCAGGAATCCCCACGGAAATCCCAAAAATCCCCACAGAAATGGTCCCAGATTCACACAAATTCCCCTGGTTCGGGTCCTGTGCCGCCTTCACCCTGCCAGGACCCGCCCGTCAGCTCACCTGGGCACAGGTGAGCGCACCTGGGCAGGAATCCCCACGGAAATCCAAAAAATCTCCATGTAAATCCCAAAAATCCCCATGGAAATCACAAAAATCCCCACAGAAATCCCAAAAATTCACCCAAATTCCCCTGGTTTGGGTCCTGTGCCACCTTTACCCTGCCAGGACCTGCCCGTCAGCTCACCTGGGCACAGGTGAGCGCACCTGGGCAGGAATCCCCACGGAAATCCCAAAATTCCCCAAGGAAATCCCCAAATTCCCCACAGAAATCCCAAATCTCCCCCAAATTTTCCCAAAATCCCCCGAATTCTCCCCAGACCCCCCGTCCCACCTGCTCCTGGCGGCCAGCAGCCCCTCCAGGACCCTCGGCAGGACCCCCTTGCGCACCCGGGGGGTCACAAAGAGCTGCCCCGTGGGCGTCCGGATGAAATCCTCGGGGCCCAGCCTGCGGAGAGACCAGTATGAACCAGTAAAAACCAGTANGGACCAGTATGGACTAATCTGCCCCGTGGGCGTCCGGATGAAATCCTCGGGGCCCAGCCTGCGGAGAGACCAGTATGAACCAGTAAAAACCAGTATGAACCAGTAAAAACCAGTATGGACCAGTACAAACTAACAGAAATCAGTATGGACAAGTATGGACCAGTATGGACTAATTTGCCCCATGGGGGTCCAGATTAAATCCTCGGGGCCCAGCCTGCGGAGAGACCAGTATAAACCAGTAAAAACCAGTATGGACCAGTAAAAACCAGTATGGAACAGTACAAACTAACAGAAATCAGTATGGACAAGTATGGACCAGTATGAACCAAGCTACCCCATGGGGGTCCAGATGAAATCCTCGGGGCCCAGCCTGCGGAGAGACCAGTATAAACCAGTAAAAACCAGTATGGACCAGTAAAAACCAGTATAAATCAGTAAAAACCAGTATAGACCGGTACAAACTAACAGAAATCAGTATGGACCAGTATGGACCAGAACAGACCAGTATGGACCAGTATGGACTAATCTGCCCTGTGGGGGTCCAGATGAAATCCTCAGGGCCCAGCTTGCAGAAAGACCACTATAAACCAGTAAAAACCAGTACCAAACCAGTATAAACCAGTAAAAACCAGTATATACCAGTACAAACTAACAGAAATCAGTATGGACCAGTATGGACTAATCTGCCCTGTGGGGGTCCAGATTAAATCCTCGGGGCCCAGCCTGCGGAGAGACCAGTATAAACCAGTAAAAACCAGTACCAAACCAGTAAAAACCAGTATAGACCAGTACAAACTAACAGAAATCAGTATGGACCAGTATGGACCAAGCTGCCCTGTGGGGGTCCAGATGAAATCCTCAGGGCCCAGCCTGCAAAAAGACCACTATAAACCAGTAAAAACCAGTACCAAACCAGTACCAAACCAGTAAAAACCAGTATAGACCAGTACGAACTAACAGAAATCAGTATGGACCAGTATGGACCAAGCTGCCCCGTGGGGGTCCAGATGAAATCCTTGGGGCGCAGCTTGCAGAAAGACCACTATAAACCAGTAAAAACCAGTACCAAACCAGTATAAACCAGTACAAACCAGTACAAACCAGTACAAACCAGTATAAACCAGTAAAAACCAGTATAGATCAACTAACAGAAATCAGTATGGACCAGTATGGACCAAGCTGCCCCGTGGGGGTCCAGATGAAATCCTCGGGGCCCAGCCTGCAGAAAGACCACTATAAACCAGTAAAAACCAGTACCAAACCAGTACCAAACCAGTATAAACCAGCAAAAACCAGTACAAACCAGTCTAAAGCAGTACAGACCCGTGTTTCTGGGGCCCCCCGGGGGGCAGCAGGGTGGTGTAGCACAGGTTGTGGGCGATCATGATGGACGGGTNACCAGTCTAAAGCAGTACAGACCCGTGTTTCTGGGGCCCCCCGGGGGGCAGCAGGGTGGTGTAGCACAGGTTGTGGGCGATCATGATGGACGGGTACAGGGAGGAGAAGTCCAGGGTGGCGATGGGCACGTCGTAGTACCTGGCGAACAAATGTGGCGGTTTTGGGGTTAATTTTGGGGTTTTTATGTTTTAGGGGGATTTTTCGGTTTTTTGGGGGAGTTTCAGGGAAATTTGGGGTTTTTTATGGAACGTTTTGCAGGTTTTTTGAGGGTTTGGGGGTATTTTTTGGGGGGGGGGTTGGGTGCTTTTGTGGTTTTTTGGGGTGCTTCTGGGGTTTTTTGGAATTTTTTTTCAGGGATTTTTCAAGACTCTTTGTGGGGGGCATTTTAGTTTCTTTTCAAGTTTTTTTCAGTTTTTTTTTTTTTGGGTTGGTTTTAGGCTTCATTTTCTCTGGGGTTTTGGGGGGTTTGTTTCAGAGATCTTTAAGGTTTTTTGGGGGGGTTTAGGCGGTTTTTTTCAGGGTTGAGGTTTCTTTTCTGGTTTTTTTCAGAAGCTTTGGGTTGTTTTTTTTTCTTTTTGGGGTCACGCAGTTTTGAAGGGTTTTTTTCAGGACGCTTGGGGGAATTTTAGGGTTTTTTTAGGGAGGTTTTTGCGGGGGATTTCTGTAATTTTGGGTTTTTTTTGTCCCCTCGCTCACCCCTTGAGGGGCTCGATCACCGTGGCTCCCTCAAAATCCTCTCCCCCCTCCGACTTCACCACCGGCAGCAGCAAATCCTCCTGCATGGCCTGGGGGGGCAGAAAACACCCCAAAATGTCCCAAATTCACCCTAAAAACATCCCATGGACCAAACCCCAAAACCCCATGAAAATCCCACTTTAAAAAAAAAACCCAAATAAAAAAAAAAATCCCCTCAAAAAATCCCCTCAGTAATCCCTAAAAACCCTTCCCAAAAATCCCATTTAAAAAACACCCAAATCCCCTAAAATCCCCCCAAAAATCCCTTCACAAAATTCACCCCAAAACAGCCCCAGGTGTGCCAAATGTCCCCAAATCCCTTCAGTTTTTCCCCTCATGTTTTCCCGCCCTTTTTTCCCCTCAAGTTTTCCCGCCCTTTTTTCCCCTCACGTTTTCCCGCCCTTTTTTCCCCTCACGTTTTCCCGCCCTTTTTTCCCCTCATGTTTTCCCGCCCTTTTTTCCCCTCACGTTTTCCCGCCCTTTTTTCCCCTCACGTTTTCCCGCCCTTTTTTCCCCTCACGTTTTCCCGCCCTTTTTTCCCCCTCACATTTCCCTCCGTTTTCACTTCACATTTCCTCCCTTTCTCCCTTCACATTTCCCACCCTTCCCCTCTCACATTTTTCACTCTTTTCCCCTTACATTTCCTGCACTTTTTCCCCCTCACATCTCCCACTCTTTTTTCCCCTCACATTTCCCATCCTTTTCCTCTCACCTTCGTCGCCATTTTCCCCTCACGTTTCCCTCACGTTTCTCACCATTTTCTCTCCTCAAGCTTCCCTCAATTTTCCTCTCACATTTCCCATTTTCTCCTCACATTTCTCAATCTTTTCCCCTGACATTTCCCTCCATTTTCCCCTGACATTTCCCTCCCTTTTCTCCTCACATTTCCCACCCTTTTCTCCTCAGATTTCCCACCCTTTTCCCCTAATGTTTCCCTCTATTTTCCCCTCACATTTCCCTCCATTTCCCCTCATGTTTTCCCCATTTTCTCCCCTCACATTTCCATCCCTTTTCCCCTCACGTTTTCCCCATTTTCCCCTCACGTTCCCCTCCCTTTCCCCCTCATGCTTCCCACTCTTCTCCCCTCACATTTCCTCCGTTTTCCTCTCACATTTCCCCTCCATTTCCCCCTCACATTTCTCTCCATTTTCCCCTCATGTTTTCCGCATTTTCCCCTCATATTTCCTGCCCTTTTCTCCCCTCACATTTCCCTCCCTTTCCCCCCACGCTTCCCACTCTTCTCCCCTCACATTTCCTCCATTTTCCCCTCACATTTCTCTCCATTTTCCCCTCATGTTTTCCGCATTTTCCCCTCAAGTTTCCCTCCATTTTCCCCTCACATTTCCCTCCATTTCCCCTCCCATTCCCACTCTTCTCCCCTCACATTCTCTCAATTTTCCCCTCATGTTTTCCCCATTTTCCCCTCACATTTTCCTCCATTTTCCCCTCATGTTCCCCTCCATTTTCCCCTCACACTTCCCACCCTTTNATTTTCCCCTCATGTTTTCCCCATTTTCCCCTCACATTTTCCTCCATTTTCCCCTCATGTTCCCCTCCATTTTCCCCTCACACTTCCCACCCTTTTCTCCCCTACCATTCCCTCCCTTCTCTCCTCCCATTCCCTCCATTTCCCCCCCCCATTTCCCTCCCTTTTCTCCCCTCCCATTCCTTCCATTTTCCCCTCACGCTTCCCACTCTTCTCCCGTCCCATTCCCTCCCTTCTCCCCTCCCATTCCCTCCCTTCTCCCCTCACATTTCCCTCCCTT